CTGCTGCCATGGGCTGGGGGAGGCACCTGGGGGGGGAGGGGTCCTGTCTGCCAACCCCGTGCCCGGCTGGGCCAGTGCCACACCCTTCTCTGCCTGTCCTGGGGGAGCTGTTGCCACCCTGTTTGCTGAGGGTTTCTAGAGCACTGTAGGGTAGGTCTAGGAGGGCTGAATAACCCAATGCCCCACCCTCTGTTGCTCCAGGGGGCGGGGCTTTCCACCTGCTCAAGCCCCTCCCCCTTTCCTGTGCCAGGGTTGGCTCAGCACCTTCCTCCAGCCTTGTGTGGCCAGCTCCAGCCCAGTGAGGGCGGCAGCAGCGACTCTGTGCTGTTACCACCCGCAGCTCGGTCCTCCTACCCTGGCAGTGGGGTTCAGCGCTGGAGGGGGGCACAGACTCCTGCTGGTGCTGAGGAGAAGGCAGCCCTGGGGTTGAGGCCGGGTCGATGTTGGGTATAGTCTCAGCTGCGTTACAGCATCCCTGCGTGCCTCAGTTTCCCTGCTGTGGTCGCACAGGGGAGATGGTGCTGGCCGGCTAAGGGTGGGGAAGGGCCTTGAGGCCCGGCAGTGGGGTTCAGCGCTGGAGGGGGGCACAGACTCCTGCTGGTGCTGAGGAGAAGGCAGCCCTGGGGTTGAGGCCGGGTCGATGTTGGGTATAGTCTCAGCTGCGTTACAGCATCCCTGCGTGCCTCAGTTTCCCTGCTGTGGTCGCACAGGGGAGATGGTGCTGGCCGGCTAAGGGTGGGGAAGGGCCTTGAGGCCCTCAGGTGGAAGGGGCCAGGGAAAGGGTGGGCGTGTGAGCTCGCCTCTGCACCAACAATCCAAACTCAGTCTTCTAATGAAGTCCCTGGGTTACCACCTGCCAAGACCCATGTCTCCCCCCCCCCCCCCCCCCCCCCCCCCCCCGCAACATGAGCACCCTGCACAAAGCAAGAGGAACCCTTCCCCTCAGCTGCTCCCTGCTGGGCCCTGACAACAAGGGGGCTGAAGCTGCTGCATCAGGCAGGTCCCTCGCACCTCGTCCTCCACCCAATCCTGGCAGGGCAGGCAGCCGTCCATGGCCCATTCCCTCACCCCCTCGCTCCCAGGGCATCCTCCCTGGGGAGGGGGGGAGCTGCAGAGGGGCAGCTGTTAGTCTAGCCCTCCTGGGGCACCTTAGAGACTAACCTTGATGTGTAGAGGCCACGCCCACTTGCTTGCTCCATTGAGGAGTCTCCTTCAGGACTCAGCTCAGCTTCGTTTCCACCCGCACTAGGGAGCTGGGTCACGCGGGTCGGTGAAAGGCCTCAGGTGCCTCAGCTCCAGGCACCCGCACCCTGGCCAGCAGGACTCCCCCTTTCCTTCTGTGGCATCA